AAAAAAAAAAAAAAAAATATTTTTTTTTTTTGATATTATTTGATTTTATTTTACATAATTGTTTCTTTTTTTCTTTTTTCTTTTCTTTTTACGAGTTATTAGAGATTTAGAGTTATTAATAAAATTTTTTTTTAGATTCCATTCATTCGTAGTATATGTATATGATATTAATATTTTATTCTTATTTGAACTCTTCCCCCCTTTCCTTGATTTTAATTTAAAATACTTTTTGGTGTATTTTTATTTTCTGTGTTCGTAAATAATTCTAATAATTTACTAAATTGAATTTTTCAACATAAAACAATATCTATTGAATAGTCTGGAATTACTCAAAACAATACATATATTATACTAAACATGTTCCATTTTATGAATGAATTTATAAAATAATAATAACATTTTGTACGTGGCGGTGTAAAAAATACTATACAGTACATTTATTTATTATATGAATCGTCATAAATAGGTAGTGACAAAAAAAATCACAGCCACAGCACAGCCTCATTTATTTACAGTCAATAAAAGGTGGCTTAGTGCCTTAATAATGCAACTTTTTATTTACGCTAATATTCATATTTTAGAATGCAATTTTTTGAATTTTGTGATGGTTTTTAACTGATCACCTTAATTACGAATATATATATATGTAATTTTTTTTTTTTTGTTAAAGATTTGTAAAAATTCCGAGAAAAACCCTCCCAACTAATTTTTTTTAAAAAAAGAAAGAGATAAACATTCCAATTAATTATCTTTTTTTTTTTTTTTGAAAAACAAATGAAAAAATGATGAAATCTATCCAAATACCCAAGGAAAATAAATAAATAAAAAAAAAATAGTTTATTATATGTTTAAATACAAGAAAACGAAGGAAAAAAAGAAATTTCGCAAGTGAAAAACAACCCCAGGTCAGAATTTAAAAAAAAAAGTTGTAATAATAATAATACATTATATGTGTTGCATTTCATTAATATATATATATATATACAAATTATATTAACCTTTTTTTTTATCCAAAGAAGTTTAATTCATTATTCTAATTTTTTTTATTATTATCGAGATTATCTACAAAATGTATAATATGGAATGTCCCGTCCTTAACCGCCTCTCTATATAAAGGAAAATTCATCCGGAATGAGATCTTATCATTTCTTGACTTTCAGCAGAAGATAGATTAGGTTGTTGAGAAGGAGCCAAATTAATCATAGAATTTGAAGCTTGTTTAGATTCATAAATTGTCTGTGTAGTAGGATAAAACAATGAATCTGGAAGATCATCAGATTCTGTAATATCGATGGCGGGGCCATGTTGTTTTATGACGATTGGTTCATGTTTTGATGAATTACCATATTGTGGTATTTTTAGCTGCTTAGAAGTCGATGTGCTTTCTCCCTTAGGTATTGCACCAAGTTCTCTAGTTTTATTACTTGCAGAAGGATGAATATGACCTCGTTTTCGCGAACAGTAATAATTAAAAAATATTCCTAGAGATATTCCTATAATTGCTATAACAATTCCAATCATAATTATTATGATCAGACTTATTGGCCGTGTTGATGTTGTATGAGCTGATTCATCCCTTATTCTTAATTCAACTCCCGTTGATTTCGAAACGAAATATAGCGTGAATAACACGAATAATATCATTATTTTTATCTTATATGTATTGACTTTCGTTTCAAAAAAGAAAAAAAGATGAAAAGAAAAAAGATAATTTTTAACTGGCGCAGGCTTTTTTTACATAACCTTATATTCTTTTTCGATTAAAAAAAAGTAAAAATTGAGCAAAAAAATTCTTTAAATGTAAAAGCATCGAATAATTATAAAATGGTGGCTGTGTGCGAATTATTTATTGGGCTTAATATACAACCGGATTTTTTTTCCTTTATCATTGTTAATTTTTATAATTAATTTTTTTTTTTATTTTCAAAGCCTCATTTTTTGAATTAACAATTAGGTAAAAGGTGTGTTGAGTTACACATAACATTTACTAATATCATAATCAATCGTGCATACATAAAAAGGGAGTGGATTTTATATAAAAATTTGCCACAAATAAATCATGATGAGTGATCATTAACAAAATAATCAAAAAGAAATTACTGTGTTGGGAAAATTTTTTTTGTTTTTGCGGATCTTTTTTTAATTTGTTCAGAATCATATGATTTGACTTTTTTTGTTTGACAATATCTGTTGAAGCGTGGCTAATTTGTAAAAAAATTGCGCGGAATTTCAAATTTAGTATTATACCGTATAAAAAAAAAAAATTCATCATGTGTTGTCGTTTTTAAACGAATTTGTTTATATAGTATTACATACGGTTATCATAATTCTTCATTCTGTCCGTGTTTTTTATATATTATATATATAAATGTAAAATAATTAAGGTATTCTTGATAGTTATCCAAAAATTTCCAACACGTGTAACGCATTATCATTAATTGTCACGTGGTAGTTTTGCATACGGTAAATATTTAGATATTTTTTTCATTATTTACTTAAAATTAATTATTGTATGTTGCATGTACAATTTTTTTTTGTTTTTCGATGTCGCTTTGCCTCTTTTGATAACGATAAGAAAAAAAAAAATACGTACATGATTTATCTAAAGTATCTACGGTAACAAATGAACTAGTTCAAAAAAAATTGATTTTTTATTCGGATGTATTCAAATTAATAGAATATTAATTCTTTTTCTATGCTAACCGAAGCATATGTTAAATTCACCGTTTAATTTATACAAAAATTCCTAATCTGCTATAAAATCTTCTTTAAAGATTACCATCATCACTAAAAAATAAACATTACGTAACTTATTGCGCCACTAATCATAAAAAAAAGTGACGTTTAAATTATAACACTAGGCAGTATTCATGCTTGATCGTATAAACAGATTTAGAATTAGTACTTTACATTATATAATAATTGAAAAAGATACGTGAACCGATTTTGTTTTTTGATTTTACGCGTTAATCAAATTACCGATTTATTTTAAATACCATAAAGAGCGTCTAAGGTTTGTGTAACCAATTTATTCTTGTATATTTCATGAGAATATATATATGTGTATATATATATTATATATATATATGCTACCGAATTCAAGCTCCAAAGTCCGGCCCGGAATTAAAAATATGTATTCCTGACCTAACCGCCTGACCTAAGCCCTGAGGTATGAAATTTAATTGCCGATTCGGCTAAGAACGGTACTATCATAAAATTTGATGAGCGTACAATATAAACTCATTTTTACAATAATGAAATATATAACTTTTTTTTTAATTTATTCTACTTGAGATTCTTTGCATACATGGTACGATTTTCATGGCAAATTATTTGATTTTTTGCAATTTTTTGGTTTATAAATCATGCAAAAACATGAAATCCGATGCGCGTACAACTTTTTACAATAATAAACATATATATATATTTTAGCTCTTTTTCTGGAGTTTTTTGCATATATTTTACAAATTTTACTAGAAAACATCGAGTTTTCGTGTTTATGTATTTATTCCTAATTACGTGCGAAACGTTAAATTTTTGCCCCGACAAGTGGACGAATCGGCAATTAAATATTGACCACGTGATGAGAACCGACGGATTATTGTGATTATTGTACAATGACAGAACTAATCGAGTGGGCGGACAACGGGACATTCTGTGTCATCATGCTTAGATTCTAGAATTCTGTAGTCGCTCCGGAATAATAAGTTTTACACGTACTCTATAACTGATGATTTTTTTATTCACAAATTATTTTTTGATTATCACATGATCATTTCACATGATTGAGACTACAGACTTACAATATTTTCAATTTTATTAAATTTTAATAACTTTTCAATATATATATATAAAAATGAAAACAAATAATAAAGTCAAAAAATACGATCTTTATGAGGGACTAAGTAATTGAGACTTTTGAATGTGTAATTACTTGATTATTTTCATATATGAAGGAATTTGCTTTTCTGTAATCTTCCGATCCTTTAATTTACTTTCATAAAGCAAATGGTAAGTCTTCTTGTGGTTCTGCATCTGCGTCACGTTTTAAAAAATGGCCAGCTTCTATAAAATTATTAGAAGATTCCATTTTAATAGTCATTTAATAAAAAATACTTGGCATAAAGAAATTATTAATACCTGCTGAAACAATTGTACTAAAGACAAAAATAAACAATAAGTATTTTAATTGCATGATTCCAGTTTTTTTTTTTCGTGATATATATGGTTAATTTTTAATTCGTTATTTTCTAATTTGTTTAAAAATTTTCTCTCTCTTTCTCAAAGTGTTTATATAAGAAACATTTTATAGTAACATGTATTTCAAATTACTTCATAATTATCAATGAAGGCGAAGTAAAGGAGACGTAAAGTATATAATTTGCTACGTTTTTTTACATTGCGCCATAATTGAAGAGCAGAGCCACTTTAAATTTATAAAGTGAAAATGCGAGATTTGATGTCATTAATTACAGACATCTGTAAAATTGTGAAGGCGAAGTAATGGAGGCATATAAAGAGTATTTTTGCCACGTTTTTATACACTGTGCCATGCTAGATTAGTTAAATCAACTACTCGAAATATGTGTCAAAAGCTTTGTTGACATTGGAATTTAAAGTTTATATTAGAGAGTATTTTATGTTTAACATACACTATACGGCCAACAGTATATGTATATTAAATAACACGGTAAAACTCATAATAAACTGAATATTACGTCAGCCCCCTTATTTGTTAATCAAATATATCTTGTATTACACACAAATAAATCTATGTAAATCTATCTTCCGCCACTTTTTTTTTTAAATAAAATCTGATATGCCGATAATAATTGTACGTGTTTTGCTTCGTTCTAGAACAGTATTTGAGTGGGAAGGGCTTCCTGTTGATGAGGATATGAATATAGAAGATTTTTTCAATGATGTAGTAGTTAATGAATTAAAGACAGAATTATGGGAAAAAATTGTATTGCATATTTTAGTCCTACAAAAACGGGCGAAATGGAAAAAATAGGACTGAAATGTAATGCATGGGAAAACATAAAATATAATAATAAATTCTTAAGAAATACTGTAGCTTTTATTTATATTATATTTGTATTTACTATTTGTTATTATTTATTATATAATTATCATGCATGTGATATGTATAATCGCTTTTATTTTGTTTTGTTTTATTATTGCATCAATCTAAATCATCTACATCGGGTTCGAAAATATACAATTACCGTAATAGTATTTGATGCGATTTTATTGTATAAACTAGTCAAACATTTGTTATCGACTAAGTAAAGAAAACAGGATCCTGAAATATATATAAAGGTCAGAGGCAGCCAAAAAATTTACTATTAGCTGTACGAGTCGAAATTATGGTAATTTCGGTTAGTATCCAAAAAAGGGGGATGTCTAAAGCGGTAGAGTCACGTAATAATCTTAGTTATACCCCGTCGCACTAAGTGTGACTTATGACATAGAACATTGTAATTTCCCTAATTAAAAGTATAAGCTTTTTTTTCCCATAAAATTTTTATACGGTTTTTTTCATAGCAATAAACTTTTTTATACTCCTCAAATTATTTTTTCATTATTACAAATATATAAAATTACATTACTACACTATTTATTTAACTATTCAAATGGTTTAACAATAACTTCTACTTTTACATTATTACAATTTTGAATATTAATATTTTCAATATTAATTATTGGTAATTTTGATGAATCTTGAGGTATTTTATGGTCTTGTTCTAAAGATTGTATTTCAAGTTGATCATATCGTAATAATTGAGAAGCAGGAATAAAACCTAAAAAGAATATGTAATTTTTCAGATTAAAAGTAAAAAAATAAATATGGAAAATTATGGTACCTTGATTTCCCGATGTATTTTCTCTTAAAGGATTTTGTTTTTTGTTAGAAAAATTTTTAGTTAAACATTCTTCATTAAGATCATCCGCATTTCTTTTTTGGGGAATAAGAAGTGAAACATTTTTTTTTCTTTGTTGAGCAGTTGAAGTTGAATATGCAGAAATCCCAGCAAGTGTTCTATGTCCTGTAATATCCATCTGTTCTGCATGAGATATACCAAGTAACATCCATAAAGAAATTCCAGTTGAACGCATTGAATGATTGACAAGATTACGTCCATTTGCATCAATTTTACAATCTGCCACAATATTTTTAAGCATATTATCATGAGAATTTTTGCCAAGTTTTAAATCAGAAAACCAATTACCATGATATATTTCTCGTGGTGTATTTATTTTTAAAAAAAACTCTGAAGTTTTGCAGTTTTTTGGTCTTTTAGATTGATATAATAGAATATCTGCCACTGGTGAATAATTATTTGGTAGATCTGGAGGAATATAATTATGCTGACCAGAATTGTAAGGATTTTTGGCACCTCCTGCATTATTTTTCTCACGAGGTATATTTACTTCAATACTGTGATCTTCATTGAGAACAATCCAGGAATTTTTTAGTCTTTTTGGATCACCACCACGCAGATTGCAAAGAAGTGTTAACCAAAACCAAACACGGTATGTAAGACCCTTTGGTGTATCAGTTTGTATATTTGGTGAATCAAGGATAGTTTTAATCTCACACATTTCAAGTGCATCAGTTTTCTTACAGGATGTATCTTGATTGTCTTGAATTTGTTTAATTCGACCATCAAAAATTTCATGTAATCGTTTCCATTTGTGTTTATCATGAATATTAATAATTCTATTTGGATAAAAAATATCTGACAATCCTCTAGCAATTGCAGCAAAGCCTACATGTAATGAAGAAGGTGCATATTCTTTTTTTCCTGATTTTCTAACACCACAAAAAAATTGACAAAGCTGTTCTTGTAATGTAGTATCATCCAATAGTTCAAGAGGATTAGTAAAATTGGCTGCTTCTCTATAGGAATTAAAAAGATTCATCCAAGTTTTAGTACTATCATCTGTATTAGCAACGCGAGAATAAGCTTGAATAGCTTGTAAATCTTTATTTGTAGGAATAACAAATCGTTCATATGTTGTTAACTTGTTCGTTTTAGTAGAATTATTTGAGCTAGTTGATAAGGTTTCCTTGAAATATCAATTTTTTTTATTAGTTTATCTATTTATTTCAAAAAAAAAAAAGAAAATAGAAATATGCTTTTTAATTACCATCTTTATCCTTTCAGTCTTCAGTTGTATGTAAAAGAAAATTATTTGTTTAAAGAACGTAGAAAAATATTTAAAGGAAGAAAATAAAATAATTTGTACGTGTGATAGTAAAAGTATAAAAAGTATAAAAAAAGTATAAAAGTTTATAATTATACACGTGATAATACAGTGATCATAAGTCACACGCTCCTGGGTATAACTTAGTAATTTCTTTTAATCTATATCGTGATCATAATTATCGTCCTAAGCTCCTAACTCTTTCAAGCCTTGTACGTCATTATGTTTTTTCTTTTTTAATTTGATATGATGTGTTCTTTATGTTTTTCTCTCTTCATCTTTTGGTCTAAGACTTTCTAAAACTTCTTGTTCTCTTAATTTTTTTGCGTTTTCTTCTCGTTCAAATCCTAATTTTTCTAGATTTATAATAAAATCTTGTTGTCATTTTATAAAAGTGATACTTTATTACATTTAAAATAAGCACTCGTGTAACATTTTATACGTAAATAAAATATATTGTTTTTAATTTGGGATGCACTCTACCACTGTTAAAAAAACCTTTGTTTTCATTTTTTTTTTTTGGATTCACTGTAAAATTTGACCATAATATGCGTCTAAAATTAAATAGTATATGATGATGACATAAAGCATATTTCAAGTTATCAATTCAAGTTCAATCAAGTTGCTCATCTCATACCTTAACATGATGCAATACCAGATACGGAAAATAATTGGCAAAAATACTTTTGTCTACGCCTCCTTTTCATATGAAACAATATAATTATGAAGTATGAATTACTTTATATAAAGGAGAGAAAATTACTTTTTAAAAAAATAAAGCTAACAAACAACACAAACAACGAATTAAAAAAATTTTATATAACATACATAAAATCAATCATGCAATTTAAATACTTATTATTGATTTTTGTTTTTATTATTGTTTCAGCGGGTACTAATGAACAATTTCTTTGAGTTTTTTCTTTCTTTTTTTTCTTTTTTATTAATTTTAAAAATTAACTATTAAAATGAAATCTTTCAATAATATTATAAAAGCTTGGGAAGCGGAAGCGTGGATTAAACGGAATGAGTATAAACGTGGCGCAGAACCAGGGGCAGATGGGGAACCACATGACGCGGATGTAAATACTTCAGGGTTTGCTGCTAGATGGGGAACCACATGATTCATTTAAACGTGATGCGAAACCAATAGCAAAACCACAAGATTTTTTTATAAACGTGACGCGGATGGTTTTGTTGATTATCATACAATATTGACCGACGGAATTATTTTCAATAAATATTATATACGATGAAAGTAAAGAAAAATATAAAATATTTTTTAAATCGGATATTAGTTAATTTTATCAATTTCAGAATAAAATTTGTGATGTACCTCAATAAATTAATAACATATGTCTAAATACAGTATATTATATAAAGCATGCCCTTGATGTAATTAATTCCAAATATCAAAATAATATCATATTTTCATTAAAACTTTTTAATCCATGTTATTTTAAGTTCACTACTGAAAAACGTGATATAAACATTCTTGTACACCTTTACTTCACCCTCGTTAATAATCTACACATTTAAACGTGATGCAGATAATCAGAATCATGATGAACATGATTCCAGAAATACAACATTGACCGATGCTATCTTTTTTTTTTGACTTACTATAAAATTTGACACAATAAATTAAAATTGAATGTGCCTACTAAAATTATATTACTTACTGATCTTGATAAATGATTTATTGTTCGGTTTTCTTAGGATCCCGAAATATACGGGCACAGTACATAAAAAGGTCAGGTGGTTCGAGTTTGCGTATAACCAGCCAAAAAATTCCATTATAGATAATACCTGGTGGAAGTCTATTATTTTTTTGGGGGTGTCTAAAGCGGGCAGATTTGACCGGAATTACGGCATTAAGAAATTACGAATGCGACAAATAATTGCGTGAAAAATAGGTTTTTAGTCCTCATAAAAAATGGAGAGTAGAGGCTTTTAATATAAGTAATTTTATGGGGTTTAGGAATATCAGGGTTTTTTTCCCGAAGGGAAAAAAACCATGGTATTCCACCCACATGAGACGAAACTACCCTAGCGTTACCCCAAAAAAAGCACTGGTTGCCGGCATTATGCGGAATTATGCACTGTCACGTGAACAGTGCGGTGACAGATAAGGTGTGACGAATAAGTTCTTATCAACTCGAAAAAACTGTCCCTCAGATAAATATAACACTGAGGGGTGTGACGGATGTGATGATTTTTTACATGGTCACGTGTCCAGTGCTTTTTTTTGGGTAACGCTAGGCTAGATGACGAAACGAATGCATGTACAGTAGTTGTACAGTATGCTATTATGTTATTTTATGTTATTATCGTTGTTGAATTATTATTATCTTATTATTATTTATTATTTTTATTTTAACAAATTAAGGTGCGAGATTACATATTTCACGGCTGTCTATTGATTTCCGAGGACGCGATGTGTCTAGGGATGTAGATGTTATTTTGCTATTACAATTTATAATTATATATGATTCATGTCGACCCACTAAATTTCTAACAACTATCCTTTAAACGAAAAATATGAATTTATGAATTGAAATTATCATAATAAAGTCCTATAAGAAAATAATGTTCGATCGGATTATAAGTACAAAGAACAAACGAATTTTATGATGGAAAAATGATAATTGTAAATGATTTAATAATCTTTTAAAATTTTATGGTTTTGCGTCAAAATATAAATACAAATTATTTTAGAATGGCTCCCAGCTTATGTTTATATAATAATAATAATAGAAGTTTCAAGTTTGTAATGTTTATCAAGAAAGTTTTTTAAAGTCATTTGATATTTTATGTTATAACAAATGTCAAGTAAATAAAGTTATATGAGAAATATTTTTTTTAATAAAACATAAATTATCAAATTTATTATTCTAATCATAAAGATATAATAAAGACATGAAAAGGATAAATGAAAGGTATTCTAGGTTACATTGTAAAATATGAGTGAGTTTTTGTATAAAGCTATTCATTTTATACTTTTTTGTGCAATCGTCCTAATGATCACCTGATCAGACATAATTAGAATATACTAGGTTATTAAAAAGCCATAAACGGTTAGCTTAATATATGAACAGTGTACGTATATTGTAAAATTCCATATAAATGGAAGAAAAACCAAAGAATTTATGGAAATACTGTATGTAAAATTTCATGAATATCAGGGTATTAATAATTCAAATTACTCATTGATGCATCAATAATCAAAAAAAGTAATTTTATTATATAATTGATCCACGTTGGGACAGTAAATATTGTATATGATTTATAACGAACAGTTCACATTTTGAACTTTAAAATTAAAAGTTTCTTGATGATCTGATATCCAAATAGCTTCTGCGTCTGCGTCACGTTTAACGAGATCGGACCTGCTTCACGTTTTACTCATTCCGTTTAATCCACGCTTCCGGATCTGCATCACGTTTAATATCATTCCGTTTAATCCACGCTTCCGCTTCCCAAGCTTTTATAATATTATTATTTCATTTAATAATTAATGTTTAAAATTAAAAAAAAAAAAAAAAAGAAAGAAAAAACTTAAAGAAATTGTTAATTAGTACCCGTTGAAACAATAGTAAAAACAAAAATCAATAATAAGTATTTAAATTGCATGATTGATTTTATGTATGTTATATAAAATTTTTAATTCGTTGTTTGTGTTGTTTGTTAACTTTGTTTTTTTTAAAAAGTAATTTTCTCTCCTTTATATAAAGTAATTCGTATTTCAAATTACATTGTTACATATGAAAGGCAAAGTAAAGGAGGCGTAGACAATAGTATTTTTTCCACGTTTTTCTAAATTGTGCCATGTTAAAATCTACAATTAAAGAACATTGCCACTTTAAAATTAATAATGTGAGAATGCGAGATTCTGATGTCAATAATTATTTTGATCCGCAATTACCTGTTAAAATTGTCATTCTATTAATGAGAGCGAAGCCAAAAGAGACGTCACGAGAGTAATTTTAGCCACATTTTTCCGTATTGCATCATGATAAATTAAAATTGGTATGAGACGAGCAACTTGATTGAACTTGAATTAACAACTTAAAATATGCTTTATGTCATCATATGAAAAAATTTTACACGTATTTAAAATTATTTCATAATTACATTGTTTCATATTATTACCAATGAAAGAGAGATGTGGGCAAGAGTATTTTTGCCACGATTTTCTACATTGCCACTTTAAGTTAATTATGTGAAAATGCGAGATTTGATTTCAATAATTATTTTGAGCCGTAATCATCTGTAAAATTGTAGCTAAAAGAGACATTACAAGAGTTATTTTACTACGTTTTGCTGTATTGCATCATGTTAAATTAAAATTGGTATGAGATGAGCAACTTAAAATCTTGAAATAACATTTGAAATATTGGTCAAAAGTTTAATGACGTTAATAGCCTTTGAAATCAAAAAAAAAAATATTTGTTTTAAAAATATAATATTTAGTGAATGCTAAAAAATATTTTATCAACGTGTTAAATGACAAGTGCTTATTTTAAATGTAATAAAATATCACTTTTATAAAATCAATCAAAGCCAGCATTATAATTATCATCATAATATTTTGGTTCTGCATGTCCAGATCACGTAGTATTCCACACGAGTGAATTCGGATTCAAATTTAGTTTGGATTAAATCGAATCAAATTGGCAAATGAGATTATAAAAAAAATAATTTTTATTGATTTTTTTTTAATTAATTCTAAAACACTCGAAATGAAATTAATTCTTAAGATATGATAAGAGATGGCTTTTATTTATATTATTTATATTATTTATTATTTATTTATTATTTGTTTATTATTTATTATATATCATACATGTAATAAGATAATCACTTTTATTTTAAGTATTTTGTCTCTATCATTGCATCATCTAAATCATCTAAATCGGGTTCAAAAATATACAAAAAATAAATAAAATAAAAGATCTGATATGCATGCACTTAAATAAACCCGATTTTATTGTATTCTATAGTCCTTACTCCTTAGCTTTCGCTCTGGACTAACATACCCTATGTATAACTGATAATCAATGTTGAAAAAATATACAAAAAAAACAAAAATTATTTTTTTTTATCAATTTTTATCAATGTAAGGATCATTACATGATTTCACATGATTTAGACTATTTTCATTTTATTAAATTTTCAACATATATATAAAATGAAAACAAAAAATAAAATCAAAAATATGATCTTTATAAGGGATTAAATAATTGAGACTTCTGAATATGCAGTTACTTGGCTATTTCCAATAGATCAATAGATGTCTTCTGATATGTGAGCTCCCGGATCTGCATCACGTTTAACATCTGGTTCTGCGTCACATTTATCCTCATTCACGCTTCCGCTTCCCAAGCTTTTATAATATTATTAAAAGATTTCATTTTAAAAAGATAATATTAAAATTAATAAAAAAGAAATTGTTTATTAGTACCTGCAAAACAATAGTAAAGACAAAAATCAATAATAAGTATTTAGATCGCATGATTGAATTTATGTATGTTATGTATGTTATATAAAATTTTTAATTCGTAATTTGTTTAATTTGTTTTTATAAGAAATTTCTCTCCTCTTTCTCAAAGTGTTTATACAAGAAAATTTCTCTATAGTAACACAGGGTTTACTTAATGTACAGCGTGGGTGTAACATATTAACGTACGAACTGGAGTTAACGTTAATGCTATCACGTGCAAGTGCATAGCTCCTAAACTCTGGTAGGATGTACGTACACCCCACAGTCCCCACTGAAACACATTTCAAATTATTTCATGATTACATTGCAGCAATTTTTTTTTCGGACTTAATTTCCAAAATCGCCATAATGCGGGCCAGTGTTGCTTATTTTCTGGGTATTACAAGAATATTTTTGCCACGTTTTTCTACATTGCGCCATGTTAAAATTTACAAATGAAGGGCAAAGCCACTTTAAATTAATAATGCAAAAAAAGCAAGATTTTGATGTTAATAATTGTATCAACCCGCAGTCATCTGTAAAATTGTAGTATTATTAACGAGGACGAAGTAAAGGAAGCGTACAAGTCACGTTTTACTATATTGCGTCATGTTAAAATCTACAATTGAAGAGCAGAGCCACTTTAACCTTTAATTAATAATGGAGATTTGATTTCAATAATTATCTCGAGGCGCAATCATCGTAAAAAATTGTTGTTTTATTAACGAGGGTGAAGTAAAAGAGCGAGAGTATTTTTGCCACGTTTTTTACATTGCGCCACAATCGGAACAACGGTGCCACTTTGAATTAATAATGCGAAAATAGATGATCTTTTTTTTTTTTAAAAAAAAAAAAAAGCCTTATTTTGAACTGATTTACTGATTTTGAATAATTGTCTTTACTTCAAAATTTATATTTTAAGTTACATCATTGTTTTTCACTTCACAGCAGCCCACTTCAGCAGAAGTGGCTCTGACAATTTAATCACATCATCACGTGATTTGTAAAGTAGGGATCACGCGTTTTCTATATAGTAAAAAGTAGCAAAGATAATAAAATAAAAAATTTTAAACTAATAAATCGCGTGATGAAAAATCTTTCGCTATTCTTAAAACCTCTTTTATATATATATATAAAATATTCTTATATTTGAGTTTCTTTCTCGGAATACATAATATTGATTATAATGATTTATACGATTTTGAAAAGACACATGATTTGTCTTCAAGTCATTTTTTCCGAACACTGCTTCAGAAATATTGGCGCAGATACTTAGTATATTTGAATATAAAATTTAATTTTTTAAAAGTAACGAAAATTTTATAGTATTTCATTTTAAAATAATATTAACTAATGTGCCGTGTAAAGAATTTTTTTTTTATGAGATTTCAGATGGTTTTAAATATTATTCACTTCAATAAACTCATCTCTATGCATCTTGACGTTTTTTACTTGAATTTTGAAGAAAAAAAAAATGACAATTAATATTTGATTTCTTACTTTATGGAAATGTAATGACGCACAGAAAAATCTATCCTTAGTAATAAGATTGGTTTCAATTTTATTAAAATTAATAAAGTAAACCATTGATACAAAACATTAAAGAAAAATTGGTTCCTCTATTCATTCCCAACGAAAAAACGTTGCGAAACGTTTTTTCATAACTTTTCCATAACAACATTACCTAGGATTTCACATTTTTCACCAATAATTAACAAATATATTCTTCTGAAACCTTAGCTTTTTGCGCATCTCACGTTAACTACGAGAAAATTTTGTAAAAAGTCTTTTACTGGTAAAATAATAGATGTATTATTGTATAGAACCTAAAAGTAGTGATTGTATCCGGATTCAGCATATCCGGTTAAGCTAAAGGATATCTGATAAAAATGGATATCCGGATAGATTTTTTTTAGTTTATGGGTATCCGGATGAGTATCACGTGACCCGATACACCCGTTTACCAATTAAATTTTTTTGATTACATTAGTTTGTGACTTAATTCTTACTTATACTCAGATTTTATTAAACTCGTGTTTAAGTCCGTGACTGATTTCTTTTTTTGTTTTATTTAACTCTTACTAAACAACAATATTAATTAAATTACTTGGCTTTAAAATTTATACAATTGATACATGATATTGACGGATTATTTTCAGATATCTGCTAAGAAACCCTTTAGCTATCTGCGAAATTAACGGTTTTATCCGGATGCTATCCGGATGCTATCCGGTTTATTTAAAACAGATATCCAAATATGAAAATCCTTAACGGTGACGGATTTTTTTATCCGGATACTTACAGTATACTTACCGGCGGATATAATCACTACCTAAAAGTTATTGTTCTTTATTATTACTATTTATTTTATTATAGCTTTTATGAACTGGAAAGTAATTGGAATAGGCATATTGGATCATGATGATCATGATGATTCAATAGCTGTTAGAGAAATTTTGCTTAATAAACTATTATTACAGACCCTGGCGGCCTGGCGAAAAGAATAACGGTCAATTTCAATAATATATACAATTCTTAATAATAAATTATTAAAAAAAATTTTTTATTTTCCGAAATGTGAACTAATTTTTACGATGAAACATTTACTATTTTTTCAATAGTAAAATAAAGCATATTTATAAAGGAAATTTGATTTTTTGTTTTATGGTTGATTTCTATTTTTAGTTTTTAGTTAAAAAAAAAAAATAAAATAAAATTGTTTTTCCTTTTTAATTTAAAATTTTTCTTGGAACAATTTTTATATAATAAATGTAAAAGGAAATTTGATACTCATTGTTTTTGATAATAATTTTCCCTTTTATTAAAAAATTTTTCAATAAAAAAGATAATTACAGTATACTTTATACTAGTAAATGGAGTCTCAGCTAGGCGAACTCAATTTCCTTTACAAAATACTGTTCATAAAATACATACTTGTTATTTCATGGATATCAATGAATAACTAAAATATTCCCCGATGCCTTAGGGTCCCCTGAAGTAGTGATGCCGTCTTAACTGAAACTAAAATAATAAAACGATCTAAACATTTTATCTTTTAGTATCAGCAGTTATTACAATTATGAAATGCTTTAAAAAAGTTTAAATGATGATTAAACTCATGTTTTTAAGTCAAAATTAACTTTTATATGTAAAGAAAGTATGTTTAATAATAAATATTTTCAGTTGTCAAAATTGTTCTATAATTTTCTTTTCACAATTTAATAAAATGTCCGTCCCAACTTCGCTAAATACATTGTCTCAAGTTGATACATATTCTGAAGAACATCAGGATCAGAATCATGGAAAATGTAAGCGCGTTGGAGGATGACCTAGAGAGAAAATTTGGAATTACTATAAAACTGGTAATTCCGATGCACATGGATAACGAAGTGCAGCTTGTAATTATTGTTCGAAGTATTGGGGACGTGGACGTCTAGGAGAAATGGAAGCACATCTTGCCAATACTTGTTCTGAAGTCCCCAATGATATTAAAGATTATTGGCAAGAAATACTTGCAAGCAAGATTAATAATTATAAAAGAACAAACAATACAAAAAGTTCTAATTTAAAGCAACATAATAAAATTTGATCAGTAATAAATCAATTGAACCATTATCAATATATGAACAAATAAAATTGATAAAAGCATGAGTCACAATTGATAATCTCGATTTATTTAACCATCATATACAGTATTTAATTCATTTACTATCAATAATCAAAAAAAGGTTTAATGTGTTAAATTTATTTTATTATATAATTGATCTACGTCAGGACAATATATTAAACTAATAATATCATATAGTATACATATTATGAATTAAAAAAAAAATTGAATATTAATTATTATACAATATAACCGAATAAAATAAATTTACATAAAAATCTATTAATTTTTGAATTTTAAAATTAAGCTTCTGCGTCTGCGTCACGTTTATAATAGCCATAGTGCGCGCCTCCAACGCGTCTGCATCACGTTTAGTAGCCATACGCTTCTGGTTCCGCATCACGTTTATAGCCATATGCTTCTGGTTCCGCGTCACGTTTATAGCCATATGCTTCTGGTTCCGCGTCACGTTTATAGCCATATGCTTCTGGTTCCGCTTCACGTTTGTAGCCATAGGCTTCACGTTTATAGCCATATGCTTCTGGTTCTGCGTCACGTTTATAGCNCTTCTGGTTCCGCGTCACGTTTATAGCCATATGCTTCTGGTTCCGCGTCACGTTTATAGCCATATGCTTCTGGTTCCGCTTCACGTTTGTAGCCATAGGCTTCACGTTTATAGCCATATGCTTCTGGTTCTGCGTCACGTTTATAGCCATATGCTTCTGGTTCTGCGTCACGTTTATAGCCATAGACTGGTTCTGCGTCACGTTTATAGCCATATGCTTCTGGTTCTGCGTCACGTTTGTAGCCATATGCTTCTGGTTCTGCGTCACGTTTGTAGCCATAGACTGGTTCTGCGTCACGTTTATAGCCATAGACTGGTTCTGCGTCACGTTTATAGCCATAGGCTTCTGGTTCTGCGTCACGTTTATAGCCATACGCTTCTGCTTCCGCGTCACGTTTATAGCCATACGCTTCTGGTGCTGCGTCTGCGTCAATGATGAATTAAAATATTATTAGAAGAATTCATTTGACTAATTTCACTTGATAAAAAAAGAAAAAATTTTTTAATAATTTATTTACTAGCTAAAGCCATATTAAAGCCGAAAATCAACAATAAGTGTTTTAATTGCATGATTAAGATAATATATTTTTTTTTTCGTGATATGTATAACTATTAATTCGTTGTTTGTTTAATTTGTTTGAAGAAATTTTTATTGTCTCAAGGTGTTTATATAAGAAAATTTTTCTATAATAACAAAATTTTCATAATTACATTTTTCATATTCGTACAAGGGTATTTTTGCCACGATTTTTTACATTGCGCCCATTGCGCCACAATCGGAACGAACAGTGCCACTTTGAATAATAATGTGGAAATAGATGATTTCTTCTTTTTAAAAAAAAATATCGTGTGTATAATTGTAAATATGCCACATTTTTACATAATGGATTATGTTTTAGCTGGTTTTTAATAATTGGCATTATCGTTCATCCCAATAGGATCATGCAGATTTTCATAGACCGATATTATAGCAATAACACATGATTGATATAATAAAGTGGAGTAAAAAAAATGGCGTAAATGAATATTTTGTAGGAAAAGTTTAAATAAAGCTTATAAAGTGGATTAAAAATGAAATTTATAGAAAGCTTATTTATGATGTTATTAATTAATGCATGATCAAAAACGTCAGAACGATAATACACTTATTGGATGTGGGGCTACGTGGCCCATTTTCATCCAATCATTCGGTCCTGTGACCGATATAGCTACTCCCCCCATTCAATAATATGTATTTATACTTATTATCTTTACTATTTGTTTTCATTTCACAGCCACATCAGTGGAAATGTCTCGGACAATTCAATTTAATCACATTATCACGTGATTTGTCAAACATATTCTAGAGATCGCATTAAAATAATAAATCACGTGATGCAATTTTTTTGCTACTCTTTCTTTTTTATTATTATACACATATATAATATACGGTAATATAACTTTCCTTTATTTTAAATAAACGGAAAATTTTGGAATACACAATATTGTTTAATATGATTTAAATGATTGAAAAAGACAGATGAGAATCTTTTATCATTTAAGTTATTTTCCGAACACTGCTTCAGACATTACTAAAAATATTGATGAGAATAACGAAAAATTTAAATTTCATTTAATAATATAGTAGCATACGAGATTCTAAGTATATACTATGTAAAGAATTTTTTTTTTTTTTTTTTGAGATTTCAGATGACAATAAACTCGTCTATCTATTTTAACACGAACTTGAATATCGGAATTATTGTTGAAACGAATTCATATTTTTTTCCCAAATTTATATTATTATTTTCTAGAATTTTGAAGAAAAAAAAGAGTTAATATTACTTTATTCATCTCTATATAAGGTTTTTAAATGATAATTTTAAATCTCCATCAGATAATAACTGAAAAACTGAAATGCTTTTGTTGTTGTCAACGTTAAGTGTTACCCATGGGTGGTGTTGCATTGTGATTTAACGTTATAAGTATTTCGTATTTATCGTGGATTCGTGGTTAATTTTAATGTTAGCAAATTTGTAGAGTCTATTCACAGTTTGAAAATTTCGTTTCAAGGCTTCTAAAGACGAAGCGAACCAACTTGTATCATCTAAATATCCAACTATAGTCGTATTAAAAGGAATAGGAGTGTTTTATTCTTCGTTGTATATTGTTATATTTTTGATAGAAATATTAAGATGTTGTGATGTTAATTTGGAACATTTAGTCATACGTATAGTATATAATCCGTAGTACAATGTACACTATATGGATTAAATTTTTTATTTTTAATATTACGATAGAACAGAAGTTAAACGCGTCAAATGGTGATATCATAAGATCGATATATGTTATGTTTGACAAATCACGAGATGATGTGACTAAACATTGTGGCTATGAAGTGATGTAATTTAAATAAACCCAGTTTAAAACATATTCAACTTTTACAAATTTGATACCATATAACTATACACACGATTTTTTTTCAAAAAAAAAAAAAATCATCTATTTCCACATTATTAATTCAAAGTGGCACTGTTCATTCCGATTGTGGTGCTATAAATAAAACGTCACTTTTACTTCGCCTCGTTAACTAAACAACAATTTTACGTTGTTTGCGGCTCAAAATAATTATTGATATCATAATCTCGCATTTTCACATTATTAATTAAAGTGGCTTTGCTCTTCAATTGTAAATTTTAGCATGGCGCAATATAGAAAAACGTGGCAAAAATACTCTTGCCTGAAACAATTAACACATGGGCGGATTGATGATCAGAATGTCGATCATTTTGGCTGTCAAAATAATCGACATTGAGCTCATACAAAACTTTGAGAAAGAGGAGAGAAATTTCTACAAATTAAAATTAACAATCATGCAATTTAAATACTTATTATTCATTGATTTTTGTCTTTACTATTGCTTCAGCGGGTACTAATAACCAATTTAATTTTTTTTTTCTTTTTCTTTTTTATTAATTTTAATATTAACTGTTAAAATGCCATCTTTTAATAAAGCTTTTGGAGAAATCGATAAACGTGACGTAAACGCAGAATTAAACGTGGACGCAGACCCAACCGTTTTCTAACAAATAACGTATAATCATATTTCTTAATTTTAGGAAACCTCAATTTTTAAAGTCCAAATGTTAAATGTTTCATATACTGACGTAGATCAATAAAACAAGTTTAAACAAGTAAACATTAAAAATGACAGGGAGCTTTAAATATTAACGAATAGTAAAACTTTATTATGATTAGAATTTTGAGATGAAATTATTAACAAATGAAAATATTCTTATTATGTGAAAAAATTTGTCAAATATAATAAATTCAAATCATTCAAAAAAAAAAAATTCCTTTCGTAACTGTTGTTTATTTCTAATGAAAAAAAGAATCTCGGATGATTATGCCCTTTGATAAAGAAAAAAATTTTAGATAATTGTTTATTATTAAAAAAAACATTAGGCTTGCAAAATCCGATTTTGTGCGGTTTGCGCCAGATGACGCCGGCCTACATTATCGGCTCATTAAACTTATATATCACAACATCACAACTTAATTATTGGGATTTTCAGGCTGGATATCTATCGATTTTGCAACGAAGTATGGACATTCATTATTAAGAATCCTGAGAAATCCATTTAATTATATATTTGTAAAATGATGATAATTATTAAAATATACTAGCCGTTGAACCCGTTGCTCCGCAACGTCAGATAAACATACACGTGATTGGTACGACGGTTAAATGTTATACGCGATTTTATACAGTCTTTCGGGTGCACAGGTATAAATTGTAGTCTAAACGTTACGGGAACACAGATATAAATATGTAATCTAAACGTGACTGTCACACAGGAAAACAATTATTATATAGTAGATATATATATATTTTTCCAATTGATATCGACAAATTAGATGGTTTATTTTTTCTTTAAACTAATTTTTGATATAGTATAAAAAAACGGAAATTTCTGAGCTTGTAGCTAGACCAATCTCAACAAATGCATAAATTATTATCTATTATTAAAGTTTACCTTTATCATAATCATCTTCAGTATAATCAACAAGTAGTACATGTTCATAAATGAAAAAAGTCTTCACTTTGAAGATTTAGCCGATGTAAATAAATATTTTGCATATTTAAGAATTTTAACTTTTAAAATATAAAACGTAAAAGTTATTTTCAAAAGTCAATTTAACATTATACATTATAAAATTTATTAATGATTAATAATAACTTAATAAATTTCTCATACTAGATTCATATATTCACTTTACATATCTTAAAATTGTAGCACGTAGTTCCGACTCCTTTACACATAATATATTATATTATTATAATGTTCCACAAAATATTCGGTCGATTCGATTTGAATTTGATTTTAACAAATTGAATTGAAAATTGAATGTTTGATTTAATTCGATTAAAATATGGCCGGAAGATGTTGGCTTTGCTGATTTTTATAATATGGAGCAATACAAAAGAATGTTGACCCTTATAACAAAAGTACTCTTTACTTCGTTCTCATTAATAACCTACAATTTTACAGATTACTGTGGTTCGAAATAATTATTGACATCAGAATCTCGCATTTTCACGTTATTAATTTAGTAAATTTTAACATAGTGTAATATAGGAAAATGTGACAAAAATACTCTTGTATCTCCTTTACTTGCCTTCATTGATAATAACTATGAAAAATGTAATCATGAAATATTTTAGAATATGTGATACTATAGAAAAATTTTCTTATATAGACAACTTTGAGAAAGTGATAAAAGGTTATACATATCACGAAAAAATAAATTATCTGAATCATGCAATACTTACTGTTGATTTTCGCCCTTTACTATTATTTTAGCAAGTAAATAAATTATAAAAAATTTTTTCATTTTCATAAACGAATTCTTTTAATAATATTTAATTCATTATTGAATCACAATACGATAAACGTGGCGCAGATCCTCCGCTTTGATAAACAGAATGAGGTCAAACGTCCTTTCTCCAACAAACAACGCGTAAAATCACTTACGACTCGTGTCACATGAAAAATCTCGATTTTTACGTAATATCAATAATAAATTTACGATATAATATTTAATTTATATAATATTACTATCACTTAGAAGTACTTTATTGAAATAATAACTGACAGTAATTGTACTTTTAAAATATGAAACTATTTGAGCTTTAATATATTACCAGTATGTAAATCTTGATGAATTAAATCTTTTTTATTATAATATCATGTAATAACTAAACATATATGACCATCAAACCGTGTTCCCATAAACTGACTATGTAGTTATTATATCAATTCAGTTATGTTAAGATGAAAAATCCCACCAATAATTTTAATTTTTAGAATTATGACAATTGAAATATAATTATATAAATAATTGAAATAATAATACATTTATAGTAACACTATAAATTTTTACACGAAAATTCACAAAAATGTACTTACATCATAAATTTACAATGTTTCATGTTAATTTACTAAAGAATGTCATTGCAAATTTGCAATCATCTTATGCAACATCAAATCGAAAATTTTCATCATCGCGGCCATCAGAATTATATGACGTACTATCACAAGTTTGATTATTATTATATTGGGATTGGCCAGTGCGAAGATCTAAACTTTTTTTAGTTAATATTTGTGACATGTTGCTGTGACGGTTGTTGCGTCATCGCAAA